AACTTTCTTAAATACGTTATAGAGCCGATGCAGTTTTCAGTGTCATCTAGTTCATAACCTTAACCTGTATATGCGTTTCTTTCAAGATATGGTACACAGTATGCAGATGGCATAGTCACCACGTTGCGCAATGAAGACATCGGAACGCTCCGAGAAATTTTGAGCCAACCGGTTGGTCCAGTTGAAGGAGTGTATTCTGGTTAATGTAATCGAGTTTAGGTCGAGCCGATCGAGACAGTTGGTATAGCTCCCACATTTGAGCAGATCGAAACTTTTTCCTTCCATCTACCTCAAGCTTCATTCGTTCATCTGTTAGATTTGTTCGTATCAGGTCGGTTTTGCTCGTCAATCCTATCTGCGTTATTCTATGGTCGGCTTTCAGTTTGCTCTGTATCTGATCAATTTTTCATTTGTACTGTTGAACAGATGAGGACCCTTGCTGATCTTATAGATTACATTCCACTTCCTTTGAAGGTAATCTCAACGATTATTCATATACGGTATAATCTTTGTAATTCAAGGTACGGTACACATTCTGCATTTCTCCCATAAATGTTGAAAGTAAGCTAACCGCAGCAGCATTCGTCAAAATGGTACGAAGGTAGGGTTTAAGGAATTTTACATGTCAGCCCTTGATTTGATATCTTTATGCATAGGTTCTCCTCAGGGCAGTGTTTGACCTATGACTGGATGATGGACATGTTGAATTGGGAATCTATCGGACCTCCCGAAAATCTGCAACAGCTGGAGCATCTTGAAAAGGTATCCCTGAAGTCATTTGATGCCCAGTCTGGGATCAAAATTTTTTTTGCAGGTTTATGAAGTGCTGGACACGTATTTATGGCTGTCACTGCGATTCCCGGATATGCTGCCTGATGAGCAACCAATCCGCGAAGTCTGCAAACAGCTGGATGCAATGCTACAAGAATCTGTAGACAATATTTTGGAAATATTGGAGAACTCCGCAATGGGGGATGCTCGTAAGGTCTGTCAATTCATTCCCCTTCTACCATTATTTAATACATATTGTTCAGGGCTCCTTGTTGAAAAAAATGCGAGAACGAGCACAAACACAACGAGAAAAGGAAGAGTTTGAAGCACAACAAAAGAAAGAGTTAAAAATGCCAGAGAAACGGAAAGGGATGAAAAAGTAAGGCTCTAAAACACCAGTAATTAATTTCTTTGTTCACATCCTTAGGAAGTTTTCCCACCCGCC